ACACGGTGTGTCAGAAAAGTTACAGGACTGGTGTCACAAAAGATATATTTCAAATTCAAACTCCAAGTTTTCCCCTTCAAAGTAATCCCCCTGGAGTCTAGCACACTTTCCCAGCCTTCTCTGCCACGACGCCATGCACTCCTGGAAGGATTCTTCCTGGATCCTCCACAGCTCCGTCGTCACAGCCATCTTGATATCATAGCAATCATATTTAAAAGCAACACTAACCTGCCGAAACCCGGGATCGAACCAGGGACCTTTAGATCTTCAGTCTAACACTCTCCCAACTGAGCTATTTCGGCTTGAAAACATCAAAAACATAAGCCATAAGATTGTCTGCACACAGTGACAGACACGAAATGCTTTAAAAGCTCTCACAATGGCACAGTGCCAGATCTAAATGGATGTAGTCCACGTCTTCAAAATGGGTCCCCTTGATGACCCCCTTGAGCTCAGGGAAGAGGAAAAAAATCCCACGGAGCCAGGTGGGGTGAGTAGGGAGGTTGCTCCAGCACGGCGATGCTCTTCTCAGCCAGGAACTGTCGGATGCTCAGGGCGTTGTGAGCAGGCACGTTGTCATGGTAAAGCAGCCACGACTTGTCCTGCCACAACTCTGGCTTCTTCTCATGCACTGAACAAAGCAAGTGCCGCAGGATATCTTTGTAGACGTGGTAGATGGTCGTCTGAAGGGGAAAACTCATAGTTTGTAGTTTGGGTTTGATATCTATTTTTTGTGACACCAGTCCTGGAACTTTTCTGACACACCTCGTATATATGGTCTAACTGGACAGCACAATCATCCTGCTATAGTGGGACAAAAAAAGCTCTGTCTTTTTTTCTTTAATCAATCAGAGTTGCAGGCAGAGCCAAGCGAAGGTTGCTGCTTCAGTGTCAACTCGAAATAGTAACAGGTGGAAGAAAGACCACCTTTGTCACAGTAAAAAGTCTGACTTTAGACTCAACGTTCCTCACTAGCCCATTAATATTGCTCAGTGGTACAACCCTCTGGTTACCTTCAACGCAGCAATGATTCAGATTTTTATGCACTTCACATCTTCTACTGTATTTACACTATTTGATGCCATCTATTTGTTTTCTTGCAAGCCGAAATAGCTCAGTTGGGAGAGCGTTAGACTGAAGATCTAAAGGTCCCTGGTTCGATCCCGGGTTTCGGCAGATAAGCGTAGCTTTTAAATATGAGTTTGCTATGATATCGTGGCGTTAAAATTAAATAAACAATTGTTTGCCGTGAGGGTTTTGGCAAACCGGTGTCAGTTTTAAATGTTGTCGAAATGACAATGTGTGATGATTGAATGGATTTTCAGTTCATAGTTGGGCAAAGATTCTGTACTGCTAAACAAGTTCAACATAACCAGGCTTTCTTCCCATAACTCATCTCAACAAAACTTTGTGGTTGTCAACTTTCTTCCTTCATCCAGGATTTCTTCTTCAAACTTTGAGTGCTCACATAAAAAGGGTGTCAGTGTGTCCGTCTCTAAGTGTAGCCCTGTGATAGACTGGTGACCTGTCCAGGGTGTCCCCTGCCTTCAACCTAAGTCAGCTGGGATAGGCTCCAGCCCCCCTGCGACCCGAGTGAGGATTTAGCGGTGTATAGATGATGGATGTCACGCCACTGTTTTTCTACACAAAACGGACAAATCACCTATAGCCTACTTAAGTCAAGATGAGCAGGTTGTTATGATGGAATAATAGAAATTCTTAAGGTAAAAAGTGCTGTTACTGTAAATGATGCAAGAGAGCAGTGCTGAAAAAAAAACTGTTAATCATACAAGGTAATATATTTATTTTCCTCGTCATTGCTTGTCAGTGCAGCTGCTTTTTTCTAATGAGACTTTGAGCTGTTAAACACTGAAAAGTCTGACTTTAGGCTCAACATACCTCACTAACCCATCAGTCTTGCTCTGTACTACAACCCTCTTCTTACCTTCAACAGAGCAACAATTCAGATTTCAAAGTATTGCATGTATGTATCTAAATGTATATACAGAATTATAAGGAAAGTTTTTTGAGTTTTTCAGGCCGAAATAGCTCAGTTGAGAGAGTGTTAGACTGAAGATCTAAAGGTCCCTGGGTTATGGCAGATCAGTGAAGCTTTTAAATGTGAGAGTGCCATGATACAGAACATAAATGGATTTCAAATTGATAACCAGATGAAGACTTGTTTCCCAAAACTGTGTTATACAGTTGTTTAAGTATTGAGTGACAACCAAAGCTCTCAATTGGCCAAATGGAATTCATTTCTGTACAGGATATTTATTTATAAGTTAAGTTGTCCGCCCATTCTGTAGTATGTAATGATTTAACTTCAACAAAATACTTTGGCTTGTTTGTGTTGTGCGTTTTATTATCAATCAGAGCTGTTGTGGGCAGAGCTAAGCGTAAAATGCAGCTTCTGTGTTCCTGCAAAGTAGGGATGAGTGCAGCATCAGTTACCATGGCAATCAAGCAGGTTAACAGGGGACCACCTTTGTGACACTGAAAACTCTGACTTCAGGCTTAATCATGCTTTCTAGTACATCCCTCTCGCTACCTTCAACACAGCTACAATTAAGACTTTAAGGCATTTCTCTCACTGTAAATACAGAATGTTTGAGGTACTGTGTTTCTGCTACACATTAACCTGTAACTTTAACCGTCAATTATTTTAACAACAAAACAAAACCTAAAAACCCCAATCACAGATAATGGGCAAACCTCCATTTAGATCTGGCACTGTGCCATCGTGAGAGCTTTTAAAGCATTTCATGTCTGTCACTGTATGCAGACAATTTCATGGCTTATGTTTTTCTGTTTTCGAGCCGAAATAGCTCAGTTGGGAGAGCGTTAGACTGAAGATCTAAAGGTCCCTGGTTCGATCCCGGGTTTCGGCAGATTAGTGTCGCTTTTAAATATGATTGCTATGATATCGTGGATTAATAATTAAATAAAGAATTGTTTGCCATAAGTATGGTAAGAAGTTGTTGCAGTAATGTTTGACATCCAAAGCTCTAACTCAGTCAACAGGGATACAGGTTGTGGACAGGATGTTTGTTTATGGAGTACTGATCACACTCTTATCATCTGGCCTCTGCACATTGACTTCTGATAGACGATGGCATCACCTCATAACACTGAGACTCTAGAGTAACATCAACCACAATTATTTATAAAAGGTGGTACAAAACAGGTAATAGGTTTTTGAAAGTGGTGTATTTACAATTTATTTGCAACACAGGAGAAATCTAGCATTGTCATGTGGACACCAAAAGTGACTGAAAAACTCTCAACATTAAAATCCCGATTGATAGAGGTAGAGGCTTTATTGTCAGTGTGCAAAATACAACGAAACTTGTGTGGTAACTCACAGCAATCAGCAGCAGTACAATATGGAATGCTATTTAAATATATATACATGATTAAATTAAATACATTTTAAAGGAATTTGGCTATATACATATGTACACATAGCACAGTGCAACTGTCAGAATCAGAAGGCTTTTTATTGCAAAGTGAGCTCGCACACACAAGGAATTTGACATGGTGAGTGAAACTGTGGTACACAACAATAACAAGACAGGCAATAAATATAGAAATCTAGATATAAGAAATTCTAAATAAATATATGTAAAAGAAAAGTATAAAAGTCCATCCATTATCTATACACCGCTTAATCCTCATTAGGGTCGTGGGGGGCTGGAGCCTATCCCAGCCGACTTAGGGCGAAGGCAGGAGACACCCTGGACCACCGGCAGTTCATCGCAGGGCCACACTTAGAGACAGACAACCAAGCACACTCACATTCACACCTACGGACAATTTAGAATCACCAATTAACCTCAACATGTTTTTGGACCTTGTGGGAGGAAGCCGGAGAACCCGGAGAGAACCCACGCTGCACGGGGAGAACATGCAAACTCGACACAGAAAGATTCCGGTTACCCCACCGGGACGCGAATGGGAGAAAATGGAGAAATGGGAGACCAGAAAATAACATCTTAAAATCATGATTACACCCACTAAGAAGAGAGTCAAGACTTTTCTTTGCATGCCAAAATCACAGTTTACATTTCTCACCCACTGTGCTCCACTATTTCACATCTATTCAACTACAAAATGAAATATCCATAATAAAATTTCACTGCGATTAAAAAAAAGACACTGTAACGCGTTGAATTTGTTTTGACGTTGTATTATGTTTTGGGACTTAATGTGTGAACTTCACCAATTCTTGCATTTCTTCTCTTGGACTAATTAAAGGCTCCATCACCCAATTCAGCTTTAAATCAAGTTTATGAAAACGAGCATTTCAAAGATCCACCCATACATAAGATTATAACTCGCCATTAATAAGACTAAGTAGCTCTCACTGACTGTGATATGAATTTGCAACAAGAAGAGAAAGATGCAAACAGATGTAAACACTGAGTTCAGGTTTCACTAAAAATCAACTTTTGACATGAAAACAACAATAAACCCAGTTCTTGTTTACAAGCTGGTTTTTCAGGTACTGGGACTGTATGAACACTTCTGCATTCACTCTTGCGGCACAACATTTTGTTTACTTCACTCATGACTGAGACATTTTAGAGTTCGCACAAGCTGCTCTTAAAGGTAAACGAACCTGCCTTGAGCAATGGGAGAAGTGAATATCTTAACATATCTTAATATCTTAGGAGCTTTTATTTTACATCTCCAAATTTCGAACAACGTCAAAATACAATAAAAGGGGATTTTCAACATATGGCACCTTTAATATCAAACGTTTGTGTTTTGTTTCTGTGCAACAAGGCGTGTCCAGCGCGTGACGTCAGCGCTCACCGACAGAGCTTGTTTTGGAGGAAGTGAACGGTGCTCGGCTAGCAGCTAGCACGTTAGCTCGACAGGAAAAGCGAGCGTCAACGGGAACTGGGCGAAACAGACCATTATACCACATCATTACACGACGGGAGATATACGTCGGCAGTGGCAGTGTTGATTTTGATAAGAAGGCTTAGCTGAGAGGCTAGCTATCGGAGCAAATTCAGCTGTCGACGCTCCAAACGTGTTGTTTTGTTACGGCAGACATTTGTAGGAGCTGTTAGCCCGTTAGCTAGCCTGCGCGTTAGCTTCCCACCGAGCCGGAGGAAAAGTGCACTTTTGATTTCTTTTTTTTTTACCGAAGGATCATCGCACAGGTTAGTTTGTGGTGATTGTAGTTGGTGGTTTTACTGACAATAGACATTAACAGTATAGCTGTCGTCAAGTTTCACATCTGGTAATAAATCTTGCTTAGCTAACGAAATGTTAGCTTAAAATAAGAAGTGTCACTGATGTGGTAGCTAGTTGTTAATAGTGGACGTTAATTCTAAAAACAGCTTGCTTTGGTTGTTTTGAAATGACGTGTATTTGTAAGTGACGCTGTTATCGTTGTTTTCTTGTATTTGCTCGCCATGCTATCTAGTGTTTAGTCTCCAAATTCAATGTTTTTTCTACCTTGCTAACCCGTTGCAAGCCTAATTGGTGTCTTTATGGGCACTGGGTAAAATGTTAACACGACTCACTTTTAATCTTGATTAATCACTTTTTTTTTCTTTTTTGTTTTGCAGTCACGGTTAAATCTGTACATATGGGTTACAGATGTAGGTGTATGGCGTCCAGCCACAGTACTTGCTGTGCTAATCATGCTTGCCAAGTCATGGTTCCGTTAGTCCTGTGTTTTAAAACCATGTGATCAGTCCCTGACACAGTGTCATGGGGTACAGATTATGAGAGCCGCACCGAGAGGTCTGCGCTCGTTTTGCCTCAAGCCCTGGGTTCTTTGCTCACACAATAGATCGTTTACAGTCAAGGTTTGACGACGTGTGTGTATCTGAAACTTCTATCAGCACTGTTGTCTGCCAGCTTTGGCCTGATGTGAATGATAATTTAAAGCCCGTCGGTAACAGAGTTTGGACTTTGGTCATTACAGCTGCATGAGGAGGTTGTTATTACGTAGCATGCTCGGCCAAAGTCAGAACTGCTTCGTAAAGCCTCGAGCAGGTACAAAGATGAGAATGTTTGAGCCACGGGGTTTAGTAGGGAAACTATTTCTCAGGATCCAGGCCTTTAAAAGAAATACGACTGCAGTTCTTAAGATTTTTTATCAATTATTGAGACACATTCCTAAATGAAACAAAAAGGGGAAGTGGGTGTTTATGTTTATTGCAGCTCTTGGATTTATATGAAACTGAAGGAGATTATACAACGTGGCCAGGATATATGACATTCTTAGAGGAAGAGTTGAATATGGCTGACACTTGTAGTGCATGTTCCCTTTTCACTAAATTTAACAAGCAAGATGTTGGAGCTGTTTATTCTGAACTAAATTCTGTAGATGATGATTAATGTTCAACACCTGTCCGTTTGTTTGGATGAACATAAATCTTTGGAGGGGAACTCATCAAAATCCATTTTTGTAAAGAATCAAAACACGATTTGTTGCTCATTTCAGTACCGTTTTGTGTAACTGGATGTGTGTTCCATTTTTGTTTTCCATTCATCTTGATGTTTAACTTCATAAATCCACAAGAATGGCAACTTGGGAATGAAACAATGCTGTTGATTCCATTGAATGGTTTGTCAGCTATTTTTAAATATCGCAAAATCAGCACAGTAGAACAGAAAGACCCAGATGTGGTGACAGAAGTGGCAGATGTCAGCTCGACTTAATAATATCAACACTGCATTGTTTAACATATTCTGGGGAGGAATTATTTGTAACAGGAATTGTATTTAGAGCGCCACGGTACAATACAGTGCTTCCATCATGTTTATTTCCCTAATTTTCTTTGTTTGCAAAGTAAAGCAAAGCCAAGTAGTGCAGATATTGTACTTCTCTATTCCTAGACTTGGACTGTTTCTTTGGAGTATGTTTCAAGACCCACACAGACATTATCATCTGTGAGTGAAGCATGTTGGCTCATTTAAAAAGGGTCATCTCCAGGGCAAACCTCTTGTTGGAGCATTTCCAGAGCTGGTTTTTCTTTCTATTGGGAGTTTTCTTTTCCCCTCTAATTTAGTTTTTTTTGTCTTCACAGCTGTGGCACAATGACGTCAAGGAAGAAAGTACTACTCAAAGTCATCATCCTCGGAGACTCTGGGTAAGTGATGCTGAGCCTCGACACAAAAGGCATCTGAATTTACTAAAAAAGAGACACCAGCAGGCAAGGGACCATTTTTAGGCCTCACTCATGAATTAGTTATAGTTACTTTTAGTTTCTCCTCATCCTATGTGCTTAATTTTGTCCTGTGATCTCTTTTTTGAATAGAGTTGGGAAGACCTCATTGATGAACCAGTATGTGAATAAGAAGTTCAGCAACCAATACAAAGCCACAATAGGTGCTGATTTCCTGACGAAAGAAGTCATGGTGGATGACAGACTTGTCACAATGCAGGTACTGATGACACGAATGCTCACACTAATTTTTTAATCATTGAAACACAATTGCATCATCTGAAACAATCATGTTCTACACTCAAAGGTTAATGAAATGTACTATTAAAGAGCCAACTGATTTTTATTTATGTGTTATGTGTATTTATGTGTTTTAATAATGTGTTTAATCGGCTTATTTCTGAGAAAATTCTGCAAAACCTGTGCATACACACAACTAAGGAGGACAGTGAGTCTTCCAGTGCATGTCCACTCATACTCATTTAAACACTGGATTAACTGAGCGAAGGTCAAAGTTAAGTATATCTTGATTAACGCTAGAGTGAAGGCGTTTTATGAATAATAATAAACATTTATTACTTTCAAGCCTTTACAAAACGAGTTCACACACTGGTGACTGGGTTTATCACTGCCAACATTCCCATGCCGGCACACCTGTAGCGATGCATTTTAAGTAAAGCAGGAGTGATTGGTTTGTCAGAGCTGAAGACAGGAGGAGCCATAGCAGTAGCGTGGGCAGTGTTAACTAGGAGTATGGCGGAATAAACATAGTAAAAGTTCTTAAGGCGACTCAGCAGCCGTCTTCGTAACACCCCTGGGTGGTTATTTCAGGCTAACAAGACCAGGCTCCTGTCTAAATTAAAGAGGAGAGAACCATAACTCCAGTTTCACTGGGACATAAAACTGCCCATATAGAATCCAGATTTGGCTTTTTTTAAAGCACACTATTGACTTTTTGTGGGGATGTGCGTCATGAGGTGTCATACAGCCTCCATTTTTAGTGTTATGGAATGAGATCAACGGTTTGGAGTCTCTCCCTCCTCACATTGCTGTAAATGTGCAAAGAAAGTTTCTGAAACTCCAGATGAAAAGGAAACTTGATGTTCAGAGGAAGGATTGCAGCCTACAAATGAAAGCAGTTGACAGGGAAGCATACATCATAATGCGTTGACATTATCTGTGTGATTGTGACTGCTAGAAGGTGCGACACAAATTTTCCGCACTGCAGGTTTAGCAGATCTGGATGTCATATCAATCTTTGCAGTATTACTTTTTCTTATTTACAGGTTTTTCAGATTTTGTTGCAAGCTGCAAAAAAATCGTAATCAGCGGTAAAAACAGAAACCCTTAAAGTTCTATCACGTTTTTATTTTGGAGCTGTTCAGTAGTCTCCTGAAGGCGAATACACGACTCCATAGTTCAGAATACCAATCAAACAAATATCAAAACCACAGTTAGGAAAATGTTTTTAATTTGAATCATGTAAATATTATGGTTATTGTTTTACCTTTTTTTTTTTTTTTTTTACCCTTTAATTAGGCAGTTTTGTGCATGTAAATGTCTTCCATGTGGGTGATTTCCTCTCCACTCTATCATTCAGATTTGGGACACAGCTGGTCAGGAGAGATTCCAGTCCTTAGGAGTAGCGTTCTACCGTGGAGCGGACTGCTGCGTCCTGGTGTTTGATGTGACTGCACCCAACACCTTCAAGACCCTAGATAGCTGGAGGGACGAGTTCTTGATCCAGGCCAGCCCACGAGACCCCGAGAACTTTCCCTTTGTGGTGCTGGGAAACAAGATCGACTTGGAGAACAGACAGGTGGGTTGAGATGATCTCATCTCCGTTGTGTTGTTCGTCATTTGTCATTTAGCTGATGTTTAACACCAGCTTCTTTGTGTTTCAGGTAACAACCAAGCGAGCACAGGCTTGGTGTCAGAGCAAGAACAACATCCCATATTTCGAAACCAGCGCAAAGGAGGCGATCAACGTCGAGCAGGCCTTCCAGACTATTGCACGCAATGCTCTTAAACAGGTACGTGGAAGCGCGCAAGGAAAACCGTTTGACTCTTCAGTGTTGAGATTTTTAACCACAAGTGTCTGTGAAAGCTGGAAGATGAAGAGCAACTCAGAGGCACTCACTCTGGATATATTGTCTGATTTCAGGAGACCGAAGTGGAGTTGTACAACGAGTTCCCTGAGCCAATAAAGCTGGACAGGAACGAGCGAGCCAAGCCGTCAGCCGAGACCTGCAGCTGCTGAGGACTCTGAGGATCTTCGGGGGGTTGTCATTGCCCTCACTACCCTGTCTTGCCTTGTCTATATATCCCCTTTCCCATAGCCCACTGTGTTATTCCCTGATGCCCAAAATACAAGCAGCATCCCACTCATAGAGTATACTACACACACAAACATGCTGCACTCACCTCCTTATGTATACAAAATACACATTTTCTATAAAAATACGAGTCTCCTAGCCCAAAGAACACCTGAAGGAAACATTACGGCATTTACTTGTACGATGCAGATTACTTCCCAGTGTTTCCCCCTCATACTTTTTCATGGCGGTGGTGGTTTGGGCTATTCCCGTTTTTGGTTCCATGTATATTGCTGCTTTCATGCCCAGTTTTGGTTATCACTGCTTTCATTTGGATACTTTAAGTGGCAAATTGAAGCATTACTTACATATTTGTGTTTATGACTTAAGTTAGACAAATATAATGTGTTGCTGTTTTTTTGTTTTGTTTTTTTTTAAATCAGATTTTCAGTAGCGGTGGTGGTGGTGAAGGTCTTCTTACTTTGACAGCCCACCACTGCTGCATGAATAGAGGAAACACTGCTTCCCCCATTTTACTCATTTGTGTTGTGGCTTAAATTAGTTTCACTCTCAAAAACACTTGTTAACATGGTTTCACTTTACCTCAAAAAAAAAAAATCTTTACAAAAGTAAATTGTGATACTCAAACAGGGGGTCTTGTGTGAGGGTGCACGTGTGGATCACATAAATATGCTGCCTGCGGATTCTTGTTAATTGGCGTAAAATTAAGAATCCAGTTCAATGACAAGTCCATCAGACAAGTGTGTACAGATGATTTTTCTTTTTTTTTTTGCACTTTGCTGTCATCCTCAGTAACTGAAGACTTGCTGAGACATCTCATTTTGGAGCCACATAAAAATGTAATTGTAGCTCAGGTTGAGAACATGGTGGGAATACACACTCAGATCCTTGATTAAGTGCTGTTCCTCTTCTGGGGAGATGACGGTTCATCTTGTAATCTAGTATCCTCGACACGTTTGACATGGGAATGAACCAAATCAAGACAGCATGTCAATCTACCTGATAGGCCTGGAGAGGAGATCTTTTTCTCAAGTATAAATATCATTCATAACTGAGTACTATTAGCTAGTACATTTCTTTTTACTGTCAACTATTGCAAGACTTTGTATATTTGCAAACCTCTCATTGTGTGGAGAAGGCAAAAACTTGTGTTGTAAATCTCCATATCTGACTCTGCCAGTTGCTCGTGTTGGCAAACAATTTAAGTGCTTGACATTTCTTTTAACCAATCAGATCTTTAACTGTCTGTTCGTATTCTGTTAAAACTTGGAAATGCATTATAGATTACAAGATAGCATACATACTGTAACTCTGAAGGACAAAAAAAATGTGGGGGAAGTATTGGCATTCATCATTATTATATTATTAATATGATAAATGCATAGCATCTACATTGTTTAAAAATGTCTTTGCGTTTCAAGTAATAAGGGTAATAAAAATCTTGAATCAAGCATACTGTTTGTGATATTTAGGGTCCGAGCACCCAAAAGGGTGCGAAGACCCT